TGAAAGGTGTCATGGTCTTCTCCACAGCCTTCACCTCAGATGCAGACCATGGCTTTCTTACACGTTCTAGGGAGAGAAATAAAAATATATTAGCAATATACACTCCCAGGGTGAGGACCAAGCAGCCTGGCTGTAATCCCCCACCTGGTACACTTACCAGAAGGGGCACTGCCACTACCATGGGGTGCATCTGGATGAATGGTTGAAGGTTCTCCGCTTGAAGTTTCTTTTAGCCCGTCCGTTTGTGAGAGGATCTCTACTGCTCTCCCTGTCGCACAGAAAATAAAAATACAAGTGGCCTTTAGGGGAAAAAAATCATACATATTTTAATAATATCAAGAATTACCTTCAGGCTCAATTTGTATCTGGTCGAGGCTCTTTCCTTCGAATTCCGTCACTCTTCCCTGCTCCATGGCCATCAACACTTTGCTGATTTTGGCCAGCTCCAGTGTCCCCTCTGGTAGTCTGTAATATTGCCTGTGGATGCGAATGTCATGGCCGAGGAAGTTGGCAAGTATGTCCATCTCATTCTCTTTCATATTGAGAACTGTAGACATAGTAGCTATGTGCTTTCTAAGTTTGGTTGAGGATAGCATCTCTGGATGCACCGCACCACATTCTTTGGCTACCTGGCGTAGGGAGTCTGATCCCCTGATGTGGGTGTCTGCGCCCGGGCGGGAAAAGAAGTATGGGTTATGGTCAGAGATGGAACAGGCCCTTCTGTTCTCCACCAGCACCTCCATCGAAGCAATCATTTCAGGAGTCAAAAGAACCGGCACTTTCCGACTTCTTTTCCCTTTAATTTCAATGCGTTGAAAATGCTGACACAGCTTTTTCTCAAGTTGGGACAGTCCCAGAGCAATGTCAGAATGGATCCCAGTCTTACTTCTTAAGGTAAAGGCTGTCAGTGGCATCTTTGAAACCTCACCTTCCCTTCTTCGATTGAAAATGATGACCTCACAAAGAGTCAAAACTGCCAGTTTAGACCAATGCTTAGACGTTGGCTCAGTTATTAGGGTTTGCACATATTCAGGTCGACATACCTCAATATGTGCATGCATGGCTCTAACGTCCTCAGTCAGAGGGAGCAGGTCCGGAGTGTTCCACTTGGCTTGCCGGAGGGTCTGTAGGGCAGCAGAAGAAACACAGACGTCCCACCTCTTCTCAAAAAGCAGCCGGCTTCGTTGGAGGTTTTTAATAAATAGTTCATCAACACAATGCTCCATTTTTGAGTCACATTCAAGAATATCTGCTAGCTTTCTGAGGCTATGGCCGAGTTTGAGGGCCAAGGATGGAGTCTTGTATTGATTTGTTTCCTCATCATATCCAGCCACAGACCTGACTGCATCAATCACATGGTTAAAGTTGGAAGGAATAAAGAAATCCTTAATTGTTTTCAGTTTCCCTGCGGTTTTTGCTTCGTTAATTAACCTACCGACTTCTCTCATTTTCTGCCTAATGTAATCATGCTTTGTCTTATCATGCCCGTGTTTTAAGTACAGGTGCTCTCCGAGTCTCAGAATCCCCTTTTCTGCTTTGACAACACCCGTGACCTCATCCTGATGCATTGCCGAAATTAAAGACCACAGCTTTTTGCTGATGCCCTCCGGTACAGGCTGGGCTAGGGAGCAGAGGGACTGGACCCTACTTCTACCTGGTTTAGCCTGGGCATCTTTCTGTGAAAGCCGGCACCTGGCCACATGCCTCCACAGCGACTTTCGCTTAAGCAATGCCCCACAGTCTATACAGTGCAAAAACTCACTGGATTTAACTGGGGAATTTGGCTGTTTAGCTGGGACTAAAGTTCCAATGCCGGCCTTTAAAACCTCAAAATTGTGCTCACGGTTTCCACTATTCCTGATCAAATCAAACTGAAGTTTACGTGCTTTAGATTTCACAGGTAGAGCCAATGCTCTGGCTACGTCACTTTCATTTCCATGTTTTCTAGTCAAATGACGGGACATTTTGTGGCAGGACATTGAACAGTAGAGGCAGAAGTGTCTCTTGCTGTATACTCGCCCCCCATTTTTCTTCTTTTGCAGCTGCATGATAACAATCTTATTTGCCTTTGGTTCGTCACTTTCCGAGTCTTGAAGAAAAGTGTTTTTGATTTTTCTTTTTCCATACTTTTTTACAGGTTTCTTCTTGACAGTTAAATCGTCAGAATCTGAGTCGACTTCATCAATTAGGGACTCTTGACTAAGCTGCACAAACAACAAATAATTTGTAATCATTCTATATAACAATTTGAAGTCATGACTTGTAGTCAGCACTTACCAGTGGTTTGTAAGCGTGCGCTTCAGTGTGCTCCTCCATGATTTCTTGCAGCCTAATGAACCACACACTTGCACCTTTTTCTAGCCTGACACCTGATTTCCTCTGTTGTGCTGCTCCATGATTGGCTCCAGCCTGCTGGACTGAAATTGCCCCAGTGTGCCCCTCCTTGATATCCCGCAACCCACCACCAGGGTTCCGACACATAACACACTTTTTTCAGGAAAGTAAACCTCCAGGGGTCCTTTCCATATTTTTACAGAGACTGCATAAGGACCGTTAGAAAAGCATTACCCATTGATTATTAAGCTTGGACCAGTGGGGTCCGGTGTTCGGGCCCCACCACGTAAAACCAGTCCCCATGACGTGAGTGGAATCTCAGGTTATGGAACCCACCAGGAGTTGAAAACAAGTGCACAGTTACACACACTCACACGCACACACACACACGCAGGTGGCGTCAATACCTTTGGACCTATGGAGAGTGATCACATCGTTGCTCACTCTTTAAGGTTCTTTTCTGTTCCATCTTAAAGCCTTCCAGAGTAACACACGACTTGATAAAGTTAGGAAGAGCATTCCACTGTAGAGTCCTTCACAGAGAAGGCGGAGAGACCAAACGCAGAGCGACGGAAGGGAATAGTACTGTCGCGCACAGAGGCTATTCTCGTGGATCTAATTGAGTGTATTGCTCTGTAGTTCACAAATGATTTTAAACAGTCAGGAGCCAGGCCATTTAGAATTTAGAAAATGAGACACAGGTTTGAAAAGCATCTGAAGTTTTCACAACTCAAAAAATTATATTTTTACTAAGATGTTACAGTGATGGTGCCTCAGGGGCTTTTTGTCAAAAATTCTTAAGGCCTGTTTATACACTGACTCTAGAGGTCTGACCACTGTTTCCCCGGCCTGCCCCCAACAGGTGATACAGTGAGATAAATGCGAGAAAATAAGGGCCTGCATAAAGGTTCTAACTGCCTCAAGAAAGAGACAGGGTCTAATATGTCTGAGATTGGCTAAATTGGTTAAATTTGAGAGTTCTAGTCATGTTCTTTTACATGCTTTTTAAAATTCAAGTTAGAATCTTAAGTAACCCAAGATATTTGTATTCAAAAAAAATTTCGTCCCTAATATAAGAGTTAATACCATGTGCTTTGGTTTAAAAATAAAAAAAAATACAAAAATGAAACATGGCCTTTGTTTTGCTAATGTTACGGCAAAGACAGGATTGATCGAGCCATTGAGCCACAGCCTGGGCTCTGGAGAGTTTCTCAGCCGCTAAGTGACTGGTGCTGGCATGAGTATATAATACAGTATCATCAGTGTATAGTTGAATATGGAGGCCCTGGCAGTGATGTGGGAGATCATTTGTATAACGGGTGAAAAGTAAGGGGCCAAGTACAGACCCTTGGGATACTCCCATGGTAGATTTCAGATAACCTGAGCAGCCATCATTTACCCTAACACACTGTGTCCTATTTGATAACTATGATCCTATCCATTTTAACGTTTTGACAGAGACACCAAAACTGACAATTTTGAAATCATGTTATGATTAACTAAATCAAAAGCCTTGCGTAAGTCTAAGAAGACTGCCCCAACAACTCCACCTTTGTCGAGGCTTGATCTTATTTGCTCGATCAGGTGGAGTGTGGCGGTCTCAGTAGAAGTTCCTACGAAACCCAAACTGAATTGGGTGAAGGCCAATACTTATTGATTTCAAATGTGTAGTTATTTTTTCATATACAATTTTTTCAGCACTTTTAGATATTACTGCCAGAATACTTTTTCTTTGTGTCAAAATAGTCTCCAGCTTTATGAATTGGAGTTAGGGTTAGCCATCTTCCAGCTTTCCGGAACAGTACTGTAGGTAATAGAAAGATTAGTCAAGTGAGTAATGGGAGATATCAAAGTATCAATGTGTCAACAGAAAACCAAACTGTTTAAAGAGCGAGGAACTAGTTTCATACATTTTACTGTAATGAATGATTTTGTGGTCATCAGCAAGATTGGACCAAACTATTTCACCCTTGCCATTGTTTATATTCAATATTTAAACAATTTTATTAACATGATAGTACATGTTTGTGTAAGCCCTCAGTCGTACAGGGATTAGTCAAAGCAAAGGAAGGTTTCTCACCCATCATGGGTGAGAAACCCATGATGCTATGATAGTACATGGTCAATTGGTCAAATGAGTAAATGAGTAAAATGTTTAAACGGGTATGCCCAGATACGCTGTTCCTACTTCTGCCAACTCCCTTTTGGGCTATTTTTTATTTTTTTTTCAATGCATTTCTTTTGTATCATTGATTTTGTATCTTCTAGATGCCCAAATAAACACTTAAACATAAACATACAATTGAAGCTACTAGCGTCACCTTTCAGAATGAAATGATTAATGGGCATTCACTAAGTATGAGGGGAGAGAAAGAATGTTTTTTGAGAAAATATGAAATCTTAATGTAATAATTATATTTGATTTGTGTTGTTGTGTTTAAATAGCTAAAGGTACTTTATGTGATATGTTATATCAACCCAATACTATTATTGGTTTCAATACAGTTGGTGAATGTAATATTTGTCATCATAGTGTTTGCATTCATTTTGTGTCAATAATAGTATTCTCTTTTTTATGGAGTATCTGAATTGAGTAATGGGAATTGTGAATAAGAGAATCAGTCACAAACAACACTCTTGCTGTGCACAAAGAGCAGCAGCAGCAGATGCAGCAGACGCAGCAGCAGACGCAACAGCAGCAGCAGCAGCAGACGCAACAGCAGCAGCAGCAGCAGCAGCAGCAGACGCAGCAGCAGACGCAGCAGCAGCAGACGCAGCAGCAGCAGACGCAGCAGCAGCAGACGCAGCAGCAGACGCAGCAGCAGCAGACGCAGCAGCAGACGCAGACGCAGCAGCAGCAGCAGCAGACGCAGCAGCAGCAGACGCAGCAGCAGCAGCAGCAGACGCAGCAGCAGCAGACGCAGCAGCAGCAGCAGGAGAGGCCTGAGGCAGGACCTGTACAAAGCTTCCTGACTCCACAAGTGAACAGAGTCAAATAAAGGCTAAAACATACATTTCACCTCTGGTTTCACAGGGCCACAGAGATGAGGGATTAAAATGAATTTGGGCATTGCATCACTGAATAAACCTGGCAACACATGATGGCCTCCAAGTGTAGTATTTTTAAAGACAAGTAAAAAGATCTTTGAACATACTACTTTAACAATAATGATTTTAATTTCTAATTTGTTCATATGTTTTTATTTATATATCTATTTAGTTATTATTAACACATGTATACACAAAAACAGAGCACAATGTTGGGCGACAGTTGACGGAGCAGTGATGCTGTCGCCAAATCGGACTGTTGTGGTGAAGAGGGAGCATCGTCTGCAGTCAGAGCTGTATCGGTCTGTTGTGGTGAAGAGGGAGCTGAATCAGAAGGCAAAGCTCCCAAATGACCGGCTAATCTACGTTCTTTTCCTCCCCTCTGGTCATAACCCTTGGGTAATGACTGAAAGGACAAGATCGTGGATACAAGCGGTTAAAATGAGTTTCCTCCGCAGAGTTGCCGTCTGTGCTTAGACTAATACCTCAGGGACCTGGCAACGGACAAAGTGGAAGTGGATCTAACCATTTCTACCATTCATCTGCTGGAATTTAAGGGCACAAGGAAAACCAATGTGAAAATTGATAACTCCATTAATAGCAATTATTTGTTCTAAAGTTTGAAAATAACTGAATCTCCAAGACCTACTGTCCATCTGTATGACACATGCTTTCTAATAACAGCAGGGAGAGCCAATGTCTGTACTGTGTCCACTTGTGTTTATGTGAAGACAGTGGTCTCTTTCAACAGCAGCTGAGGAAAACCCAACGGCTCTCCCCCTGCTGAAGTCATTCTTGTAAATAATTCTGTTTTGTTTATTGAACAAAGGTAGACAGAGCACCTGAGGTCAACGCGGCTTGAAATGGGACGTCAGATCTGTCCGCAGTTTATGCCTTCTGTCTAAACACCTCCAATAGATCATCGTTTCCACTGTTCAAACTTCCAGTGGTGGAGTAAAGTTAGAAAATAAAGTACAAGACGACCTCTGTATGAAATAAAAACACAATAACTTCATTGGGTCAGTTTGCCTTTGTGCACCTGTTATGTGAAGTCAAACAACAACATTCAGATGGACCCAAAAAAAGTTTATATTCACACTTTTTCTTTTACTGCACCACACTATCTGTACATTATACTCCACTGCAAAGAGTACGTTGTTTTGCTGGATTACAGATTGGCCTTACTAGTTTTTACTCTTAAGATACTTTTTGTCCCACAGGAGAAGTTCGTGTTGGGACAGGGGTTCACATGCTTTACATCGCAAACATTTGCATACACAACGTAGACATTAAACTTTAAACGCTAAACAGACCAAATTAGACACAGGCAAGAGCACCACCAGAGACCTCTAGGACCATAGGAAAAGAAAGAACAACCTTTAATGTTCATTTCTTGAAGAATGCAATATTACTGTTTTCCTTTTTAGAGATAATTTGTTTTTATGTTATTTTTTTCAACTCCTAATTTCTGTTTTATTAAAGCCCTTTACAAAATGGTTGAGATGCAGTTAGATGGTTATAGATGTCTAAAACCAAGAGAGATGTTCCAAAGAGTTTGATTTCAGTTCCAAGCATGAAGTAGATAGAGTGACTCAATAGGCGATCTACCAAATGATTGAGGATTAAAGGGTTAAAGAATTAATATAATATGTTTTTTCCATTAGATTGATGATGAAACTAATACTTTGTTTTTCCATACTTTAGAATGGGAAATAAGATCTTAAAGGAGCTATACCCGTTTCTGCAATGTTTGAATGTTTAGCACCGCCCCCAACTCGCTCACAGGCTTCATATTGCCTCTACGCTCTCATCCCACGGAGCCTTGTAAGCTGTACAACAATCACTGATTAAATGGTACAAAGGCAACGCACTGCTAACAAAATATATACCTGAAAGATTACTGCTAGTTCCGCGTCCGAATGTAGTCCGAGCATAGATAGTCCGAGGCGATCTCGCACTCGCAGGTCTCTCCCATAGACAAGTCTCTCTGGAGGATACGATGTAAGCTAGCTATGTTCACCCGGGCTTGATTTCTTCTTTGATAATTTTTTGGCTTTAGTTTCCTCTTCTCTTCCTCACTGTTGTGTCGTTTGGGCTGTTTTGCTGTGTCTGCAGTTACAGCCAGAGCAGTTATAGGCACTTTCTGCCGCCATTTTGCTCTTGTTTACCAGCGCTTAAGAAGCCTGTTCTGTGATTGGAGGAGAACTGGCGTCATGCTTTACTCAGCACTTTTTATGGCCTGAATTCATACACAAGCTGAATCAATGAGTTCAAGTTTTTAATTCAATTACGGATTATAATACAACTTGTATGTAGTAGAACGCATTTTTATGAACTCATTAAAAAAAAATCAGTTATAGCTTCTTAATATAGAAAATATATAGTGAAACAAGTATGAAGGGTAAAAAATACTTTCCACCTGTAACTCCCAATGCCGCCACCAGAGGGAGTACTTGAATTGATTTTCAATTTTTCAAAAATTTGAATATTGTGGCCTGAAAACTCAACTATGCTATTGTAAGTTCTCAAGTTCAGCAGAGAACTTACCAAAACTAATGAATGTGCAAAGGAAGGTTTCCCACCCATCGTCTGTACTTCTTAGCAGGTTTTCCCGATGTTGGATCCCTGTACGACTGAGAGCTTACACAAACTAATTTATGGGCAGTACTTTAGTTTTAAAAGGCAGAAAACAGTGTAGTGTGATATTATAGTGGTACAATTACATCATACTATTACAAGACTAAAATAGCCTTAAGGGGTGGAGTTCCATGTTTGTGCCAGAAGTTCCTGTTATTAGCGTGGATGGATCAAAAAATTTATTCAATATTTACTTTTTAATTAATTCATCTGAAAATAGTACGATTTATTTGCATTAAATCATTTTACTTGAGCAACCTTTGAATCCTGCATCTGCACTTTTACCTCTTCCACTACAGACCACAAGTTCTCCTTGGACAGGTCAGGAAAAGCTCAGTCTTGGACCTCAGAGTTGGTCTTCTGAGACTCAAGCAAAGCAATGGTGCTCTCCACACAGGAAGCTGATCCAATCTCCAACACGTCGCACATATGCCTGGACCGGACATCTCACCTGGTCATGCTCAGCCTAATCTGAGGTCTGTCTGTCCCAAAGCAGATATACTGTACTGCTGGTTTGTACCACACAATGTCAAACACCAAATATGAGCAAGACTGAGGGAACGTATGGTTATCAAGGACTTGTTTTTGTAAGAATCATTGAGATGGATTGTTGTTTGTGGCCACTGACCAATAGATAAACTGGGTTCATGGAGCTTTACAACAGTCCAAAAGGAGACATTCTTCACTGGTGCCTTGGAAAATGCAAAAAAAAACATGAACAGCTGTGCAGTATTTTTCATGAAAATTATTGGCTTTGATGTTTTAAGTTCAGGGGTGGTTCAGACCGTGCTCAGGTCCTTGTCCAAGGGATGGATGGGTTCATTCAAATTAAATCAATGTATTTCCAGAGGATTTTGCAAATGTGTCACTTCGCCAACAACAAGAAATGCAATAATGGAAAAAGATCTAGCACTTTATTTATTTTAGTATGTGCTTGTTTTTAAATCGTCAAAATGCTTTCTTCAGTCTATGATTGTTGTCTATCGTGCACACTGGCTGTCTATTGTGCACACTGGTTATTTTTGCACATATATTTCAATGATGTTTGACTGAAAATGACAAATTAACTGAATCTGAATCTTCTTGCATCTTTGTAAATTCCCAACATTGTGCAAGAATGAGAGAGCAATACACCATATATCAAACAGTAGATGGATTTGTGTTTCTCTTCTTTGTTCAAGCTCCCAAGTAGCAATATGTAAAAATCTGGCCAAATGTGGTACTGCAACCTCTCCCACTCTCCCTGACTCAGGTTGCCAGATATGCAGACGACTCCAGCTGGGACCATAATAATAGACAGGAGTTTTGTCAATAACAAATTTAAAACCACCTTTTTCACAAAGATAGAAATCCTGGTTTTATTTGTTGTTTTGTTGTTGTGCTGCCACTTGTTACTTTACCAGTGAGATTAGCTCGACGCGGTGAGTTTTGGGAACCCGGATCACAGAGTTTCTGATTGGTAAAACGGTGGAGGGCGGGACATCGAAATGAAAACAATAACAAGATTTAGGGGCTGTAAAACTAATCTTGAAATTCAAATATCTCGACTGAACTAATGTTGTCAGTTAAAGAAGTATTGGAAAAGTTTTATGCCTTCTGACAGATTAGGGCCATATTTAAAGTGGTTCTCACCCCCGGTCCTCGGAGCTTACGTTACTCACATTTCCTGTTCAAATCTTCCTCTAAATGGGCGTAGCCTGGAGGACTAAAGGGGGCGTGAACGAGACTGGGCCGTTTACATTGCTCTGGGCGGGGGGCTGCTGACGTCAGGTCCAACTTGCAGACGTCAGGTCCAACTTCTGTGCCAGTGTTGGCGCCAGATTCAAAATTCAAATGTAGTAATACAGGTCGCCAGCAGATGGCGCCTCACAGATGGTTTTAGGCAGAAAGTCTAACTTTCAACTAATTTGCACCAAAGTGACAAGATTATGACCAGGATATGTAGACAACACTATTGGACACTCATTTATACCGTTTATCAGCAAAAAAAAGTGGATTTGAGGGTGAGTTGTCCTTTAATGATGACTTGACATGAAAATCTTACATATCGCTACTTTAAGTTCAACAGGTTTTGTCCTGGTTGGTAAATAATTCCATCTCTTGCCCAGCACACTCCTGATGTTTGCACTGTACCTGTTCAGTATTTTCGAGTTGAGAAGCCGTTAAGCCGTGATGTAATATTTGAAAGTTTGCAACAAGGTCATGTGATCAGCGCTGGCCTGAACACTGGCTGCTTGTGAACTGCTCCGGGCCACATCCACATGTGTGCACAGCAGTGGGCCTGCACTGAAAGGCCCGAGTGTCTGGGCGTCAC